AAATAAAGGGGTAACCGGTTCACCTTGAAGATTGCTAGAAAAATTATGGTTTCCCACTACTTACATAGTTTAGCATAGTTTTCCAGGCTCAAATGATGTACTAAAACATGAACCATGATTCACAAAACAAAGAAGTGTGATTCCCCTGCCATGCAAGCCAAAATCAAACAAACCACATTATGACTTGGCCCAGGGGTGTAAATGTAGAGTCTACTGGCCATATATGACTCACCAGCATCCTTTTTTTTTTTTTTTTTGGTGACCTACAGTTGTTCCAGAGTCAGTGAGATCAAAACCAGTGGCTTTTTCTTCAGTTTGGAAAGGGTTTAAAAGGCTAAAATGGTGATCTGGGAAGGGCTTGAGGACAGATGGGTGCTTAGGCCTTATAGGACCATCTTATTGGTTACGAAGCCTGAAGGTTCTCAAACACTGGGATTCTGGTCTTGTCCACTTCCAAAGGGCAGCCCTTAAACTGATCCAAGTTCTTTACCTCTAGCTTAGCGTACTATTAGCCCAGCCCTATTAGAAACAAATATGAAACCTGCATGAGATATTAGCGCCTTGTTCCAGAGTAGTTCTACTAATGCAATTTCTCTTCGCTCCTCATATGGACACCTTGAGCTGGGGCTGAGATCTCAGTAGAGTAAATTTAGAGAAGACACTAAAGCAAGAACAAGTAAAAAGCAGCAACAATTCTGAGTGGAAACATGTGCAAGACTATTTTATTACTTAAGATTCTCAGCTAACCTTGCTTAGAAAAATACCAAGAGAAGCCATAGAAACAATTAAGCTTTTCCATCAGTAGACAGTTCCATACTTCTGGATTAGCATACCACAGTATAAGTATTTATTTCTATTCAGATATTTACTTCCTAGCAAGTGAGCTGTGCTTAATTTCACTCAATTATAACACATCCTTGATTGCCAAGGCAGCAACAGCATTGTTCCAAAGCATTATTTCACAGATGATACAGCTAATTATGAATACTAATCTTTTTTTCACACCGTCCTTGGTCTTGCCCAAAGTTTAGGGGGCCACAAATACTGTCAGACCTTGAACTGTCCTCCCAAATTTCTTCAACAAATTCTATTTTTCTACAAGGAAAACAAACCCATCTTTTGATTCCAAACCATTTGAAAAATGTTGTCTTTGATTTAGAGAGAAATCCAGATTTGGATGCCAAAGTGTAAATCCTACAGAGTTTTCAAAACACTGAGAAAATCCAAGTCAACTTTTACATTTCAAGTGACTAGATGATCTATAACACAATTAGGCTGAAAGTCAGCACTCTAAAGCTTTATTAGTGGCAGAAGATCACACAGAAAACTTTTTGAAAGCTACTTCTTGAAAATGTATTAATTACTCTCAATATACATACATACATATATATTACATACACACACAAACACAATTTCTTTTGCAGGCAATCAAGTCTTCAACTTCTGTTGGCTTCTTTAATATTACTATCAGGCCTTTTCAAGAGAAGTGCATTTTGCAAAGCTGCTTTAAAAAGTATTTACTAGAACTACCCTTTCTCTTATTAACCTTCACAGTCCAAAAATGTGGTCAAAGACAGCATCAACCAAGTGCACTGAACCACCCACGTGTTCCATTGCAAGATCTTGCTTTCAATGTGCCTTTTGTTTGACAGCTGGTGTTTCAACATCCTCAAGCTAAACAGAAAAAGGTCATCCCTGGTCTCCTGGCATTCGTAAACCTGAATCAGACCCTGCCAAAGGAAAATTGATGTTGAAGGAAATTTGCCTTGATCAAAAGAGATGGGTGGGGGAAGAGAGAGAGAAGTTTAAGCAAGAACCAGCATTGCAGGATGACTCTCAAATTGCAGGACAACAATCCTGCCAGAAGTTTGCAACTAGACGCCTCTTGCAAGTGTTTTCCTTAGTTATATGTAGTTATAGGAACATGAAGATTTGGAGTTTGAAATCTCTGTTCTTCTAGCCACTCATACAAGTCTACAAGACTTGCTGGTCCAGATTTGGGGTCGTTAAAAAGCCACCTGTCACACAAATTTATGATAGTCATGTGTAGCTTTTTTTCCAAAAAGGGAAAGCCTGCACTTCCATCACGCAAATAGTACAACATTTTTCTTCCTTAAGATAATGAGCTTTTGAAACCAGTCACCTGCCCAGTCGCCTCTTTGTGTGGTCTGCTGGTGGAACCACTTGCTCCACTGGATACTCCCAGGCATTCCGCACTCAGAAGACCTCCATAAATATTTACAAGCCTGCATTAGCTTCCAGCAGTCCCTAAGCCAAGCTTTTAAGATCTGACTTCTGTTTAATTTATTATACCCATTGCTTTAGTTCCAAGGCAGGCCACAATATTGCTTTTATCTCGTTAGGCTCATTTTGTGAGAAAATACAGTATCTTATAGATACACAAAGGCCGAGAAAGTGTAATCTAACCCAGCAAGTGAGTGGCTGGGCTCCCACTTGAACCTTGGTCTGACTCTGACCCTTTTAGAGGCTGCACCCAACTGGGCCCCCCATTCTTCCAATAATCTTCTCTCGCAACCCCCTCCCCTAACGCTAGCATATAATCATTCCATCTTTGCCGAGGCTCCTCCATCATTAACCTTTCCAGTTTCTAAAGCCAAGACCCCATATTGGAGGTCCAGCATTCCTCCAAAATCTCCCCTCCCATTACCCCCCCCCCCCCCCCC